GCAGCCAAGACACCCCTGAGAGGAAGAGCCTGGCTCTCAGGTTAGATTTCCCTGGCAGCTCTGGTTCTAGCAGGCTCTGTGGGCCTGCAGCCTCTCACAGGTGGTGGCAGGACAGAAGCAGGCTCCCACTGCCACCAACCCATTTGGCCAACAAGGCTAGTGTGGGAGGCAGCTGGCTCTGCCCTTGCCCACCTCCCACGAGGGGTGAAGGATTTCACTGCAGCCCTGCTCATTTTCCACCAAGCCCAGCACCTCTTTTCCTCCCAGAGTCTCACTCCACACTCAGAGGCCCGCAGAGTGGCCAGAGCAGGGTAAGGATGCCGGTAGGGGGCTCTTGTAGAGAGGGCCAAGTGAGAGGGGAGTGGGAGGAGAAAGAAGATTCATTCTGAGCTTTGCCTGGCTGGGACCAGGACAGGGCACGGACACACCACACCAGGACTAACGTGAGTTCCAAGCAGGAAACGCTTCTGTGTCTACAGGTGGTTTCCACTCTGGCCTGCTCTGGTTGTCTGAAGCAACGGTGAGCTCTTGCTAAGGACACTTGGAAAGAGATACGGCCCAGGTTTTAGCAAACCTTGTTAAACAAAATGAAAAGTAAATGTGTTAGTAGTTCCACCCATCTTTACTAAGCCTTCCAGGTCCCAAGAGCACTGTCACCCCTGCTGGTGGCCAGATGTCCTGAGTGCCTTTCACTTTCGCTTGCCAAGCCTACCTTCCTCCCCTCCTGTCTGATAGCACCTCCCTTGATTTCTTGTGGGAAGGAAAAGGGTGCCTCTTCTTCTGCACCTTATGTGGTCCTGGTCAGCTCCCCTATCCTGACCCTCCACACCACAGTGGACAGATGTCCCAGGCTGGCCAAAGACCTCCATCCCCTGGGCCTAATGACTCATCTGGGGTGTGCATGTGATGTAAATGGGCCAATCGGGAACTTCCTTGAGACATTATGTATGGATGCTGGGGAAGGTCGTTTGTCTCCCTTGAAAATCAGGTGCAGTAAGGACTTTATAAGGTTAGGAATATTGATGAAGCCTGCCCGAGTGAGGCTAAACCCAGAGTGCAGCACGGCCAAGAGACTGAGAGTGTAAGAAATGGAGAGAGAGAGAGAGAGAGAGAGATTGAGCGTGAGAGCGAGCTGACACTGTTTGAGTCCTTCGAGGAGGCTCTAAATAGTATTAGCAAAAACTCAGACTTCATCCTCAAGCCTTTCTCGAGCACTGCTATCCAGAGCTCTCTGCCAGAAAACAGCAGCGAAGATCAAATCAAGGATGTTGCCTCCCCACTCAAGCCTGTTTAGTCAAATGGACTCAGGGCAACCGCACTCAAATTGAAACGAAGCAGAAAACGGAGATCAGTAAATAAAGTTTTTAGGCTAAAACCCATGCCAAACCAGATCTCAACATCTGTAGTTATTTGCGCATGAAATGGACCAGAAGCAAATATTCTTAAAGCCTACTTGAGTTTCTAAGGGAGTTTTACTGCCCGGGAAACTGTAAGTCTGACCTGACAAAACCCTTGACCCGGAAGGCAGCCTGGGCTCCATCCTTGCACCTGCAGAAAGGGACCGTAAAAAGCACTGCAGCCCCCACGAGGGACATCATCTTAATGCCTGCTTCAGATGGACAAGGGAGAACCCTCCAGAGCATGTCAGCCAAGGAAGGCTCCGCTGGAGAGCACAGCCAGGGGTGCCAGATGGCCCAACCGAGCAACTCACCTGCTGGCACAGGAAAAGTCTTTTCAGTTCTTGCCCAGCAGGATTTGACCATTGCTATGGGCAACTTGTGTTTGCTTTTTATTTTCTTTCTGAAGGGAACTTTTACTGTAGTTTCCCTGTTCCAATGCTGCCATTGTGTACTGGGTGTGAGAGAGTTTGAGGGTGGTGGAGGAGATCCCTTATTTTCTCATACCACTAGGAGCTACCCCTGCCCCTGACAGCTTGTCACTCAGGTGCTCCTGGTCCTTGCATTGAATCAAGTCATTTGGGACTTGTCCCCCTTGGAGAGAGGTAGATGTGTGTGTGTGTGTGTGTGTGTGTGTGCGTGTGCGTGCACGTGGACCCACAAATAACTTGGTGGGCCAAAAGCATGGACAGTGGCAGACAATGTTGGACATCACCCAGTGCTAGTTCTCCCTTTCTTTTAGTCTAGTAAGACACCCCATTTTTTGGTCTGGACACAGGCAGCATTTTTCCAGCCTCCCTTGCTGCTAGGTGTGGCCAAGTTCCTGAATAAAAATGAGCAGAAGTGACATGAGCATTTTTGGTTGTGCTCATGAAAGGAAAGAGCATATCCTCCCTCAGCCCTCCTTTCCCCATCCTGCGCTGGAATGCAGGTGTGCTTGTGGCCATCGTGGACCACACAGTCAAGGGCTATCCTAGGAATGGCGGGTTCTGTGTCAAAACTCCCGAACCAATAACTCAGCTGTCCTCAAGTCATATTCTTTTCCTTCGGGGGTTTTGTAAATTCAGCAACTCTGAGAAAGTATAGAAATCATATCCTACAAAAATTACTGTGATGCTGGAAAAGTCTAAAAGTAGTAACCTTGGGAAGCTATGAAATTGAAAGAGTAAAAATTAGAATGAAAAGAATAAAGAAACAAATTTAAATTCATGATGTACCGTATTAGCACTTTGATTACTCTTTTTAGGAGTGCAAGTGGACGCAGATTTTTAGGTGAACTATAGCATTAGTGAGAAGAGACGTTTCTTTTTTTTTTTTCTTCTTTTTCTTTTCTTTTTTTTTTTTACTATTTCCACTTTATGGACGAAAAAGAGACATTATCATTCTTACTCTTGTTCCTAATAGAATCAGCTAAGGATGTAGAATGTTATCAGAAGTTTGGGGCCATAAGGAGTTGGACTAGCTAAAGACATCCCCAGCCCTCTGCCCCCAGAATTCCCCAAAGAAGTGTGCCCCTCTGGAACTATTACTCTTGAGATAGGAAACCAATACTGCTGAGGAGTTCATTTCTACCATCCCACAGCCCCGTTTTGCTGTGGGATTGTATCATCATTTTGGGAAGAATTTATGCCAATGATCCATGCACTTTACTCGAAATGTGTTCATAGACCACCTCCTAGTTTCTCAGCCACACGGCATCAGCAGGCCCCTCCTCATACAGGAGGAGGACAAAACAAAGTAGACACCCTCACAACCACGAGCAGAATCTTCTCTGGCTTTCTAGGGTCTTAGAAAGCCATTTCCTCATAGTAGAATCATTTCCATAATCAAAGTGACATTCTCCTGTGCTTGCGTTGTCTGCTTCTTAAGGTTGTTTAGAACACGAAAAAGAATCTGATTTATTAGATCTGCAGTTTTAATTATTTGTTTATCCAAGAGCTTGATTACAAATTTGTAGTGAACGCTTAAATGTCCTGGGAAATTTAATGTGACGTTTTTGTGCTTTTGTTGATTATGTGTAAATAGTGAATAAATATTTAGAAATGGTGAATGTTAAATATTAGAAGAAATGTTGTTTTTGAAATTAATGAGTTAGCACGACATTCATTAAATGAAAGATAGGTAACAGTCAGTTTTTCTCTCTGAATTAATAGCCACTCAAACATTAATGCTATACCTAGCAAAGAGTGAGAGATATAAAGGCCAGTTTATTAATGTCTGGGGGTCTTAGTTTCCTTACCCATACAGAGAAGGGGTTGGATGCAGTCATTGCTAAGTTTTCATCCATCTCTTAAATGCTGTATTATAAGGAAAATTCAGAAATGCTTTTGCTCATGTTTATACCAGATTTTTACCATCCTGCAACCATTAGCCACACAGATAAACGGAAGTGGTATCCTCTGTAACAACTTAGACCTTCAGCGTGCCTTTCATTCTTTTGTAATATCACAGCTGCCTCTGAGTAAACAGACTGTCAGCATTACATCAAAGCGCATGTCTGACTGATAGATCTACCAGGCACCCTTACGTGCAATCAAAACTCGGCCCGTCTTGAAGATAACTACAGCTTCAGCACATCTCAGCTGCTGTCAATAAACTTTCTTATTGTGTGTGCCAGCTTCCCGTAGCAATGGGAAAAAACAAGAACTGCCCACTTCTTATGACATTTTCCATCACACTTTTACAAAGGCTGAACATTTGAATGGTGCTTCACTGTTTACAGAGCAATTTCCGTTTCTCACAACCACTCTTATTTTACAGATGAAGGAACTAAAACTCAGAAGCCTGGCTGGGCACAATGGCTCACACCTGTAATCCCAGCACTCTGGGAGGCCGAGGTGGGAGGACTGCTTGAGGCCAGGAGTTCGAGACCAGCCTGAACAAGAGAGAGCCCTCGTCTCTACTAAACACAGAAAAATTAGCTGGGCATCGTGGCACGTGTCTGTAGTCCCATCTACTTGGGAGGCTGGGGCAGGAGAATCGCTTGAGCCCAGGAGTGTGAGGTTGCAGTGAGCTACAATGACGCCACTGCACTCTACCTGGGGCAACAGAGCCAGACTCTGTCTAAAAAATAAATAAATAAAACTCAGAGGCCAAATGACTCCTCAAGATCACATGGCTATTAAGTGGCAGGGCAGACTCAAACCCAGGTGTGTCTGACTTCTAGCCCAATGGCTTTTCCATAAAAATACCCCGGACTCATTGCAGCATTGATGTACCATAAAGGGTTGTCTTGAAAACTGCTTCCTAATTTGTTACAATTTTTATGCAAGTCTCTAGTATTAAGAAGCTCTGACTTCTAATCTAGCACTGATCCCAATACCTACTCACTTATATGAGCTCTGGCAGAGCTTATCTCTAAGGTCTGGACAGAAAAAAAATCAACAACAAAAAAAAAACCTCTGGGTTCAATTAAAATGTATCAATAAAGAGAACTAAAAGGAGCCTCAAAATGTTGATGCCTCTCTGCTGGCTGTGGGTGCCTACTGAGGACTCCCAGCTCTGCTACGGCCCTAGGACAGTGTAGTTTTCCCTCCCAACTGTTAACTGCCAACTGGTAGCTGGTAACTGCCCGTGTGTCCTGCTGATGTCATGCCTGACCAGGTGACTTGCTTTGGCCAATGAAATGTGAGCAGAAGTGACGTGTGCCCCGTACCAGCAGAAGAGCTGTTGCCTATTTCCACACTCTCTCTTTTCCCTCTGTCATGAGACAGTATATTTTAGACAAGAGGCTGCTCGCCTTAGCTTGGATCCCTAATGAAAAAAATGTGGCACAGAGCTGTAGCTGGCCTCTAAAGATCAAGTCATGGATGGCAGAAATGAACCTCTGCTGTTGTAAGCCTATGAGGTGTAGGGGTCACTTGTGGTAGCATAATTTAACCTAAGCCAACTGAGTCCAGCACCTATGTCACTGTTTTGGGAGTGTCTGTCAACTCCACAGGACACTAGGCTCCTTGCAAACAGGTACTATTCTTTAGTTATCTTTCCATTTCCAGACCCTAGCGGAGTTCTGGGCATATAATAGGCACCAAATGGGTCTTCGGTGACTGGCTGGGTGGATGGAAGGAGAGAGGGGTGACCAGTAGGACCTCAGAATGACACTATGGGTTCAACATGGAGCCCAGATTCCTCAGGATGGAACCAGGCATCGACATCCTCCCTGTGCTCTGATTTCATCAATTCCACTGCTATTCATGATACTGTAGGACATGGCTGACTATCTCACATCTTTTTAGATAGATAGATAGATAGATAGATAGATAGATAGATAGATAGATAGATAGATAGATTGATTTAGGAAGTACAAGTGTAGTTTTGTTACATGGATATATTTCATAACAGTGAAGTCTGGGCTTCTAGTGTAGCCATCACTGGAACACTGTACATTGTACCCATTAGGTAATTCCTCATCCCTCCCACCTTCCCACCCTTCTGAATCTCCAGTGTCTCTCACTCCACAGTCTATGTCCCTGTGTTCACATTATTTAGCTCCCCCTTATACGTGAAAACATGCAGTATTTGACTTTCTGTTTCTGAGTTATTTCACTTAAGATAATGGCCTCTAGTTCCATCCATGTTGCTACAAAAGACATTATTTCATTCTTTTTAGGGCTGAGTAGTATTCCTCGGTGTGTATGTATGTTTGCGTGTGTGTGTGTGTGTGTGTGTGTGTGTGTGTGTGTGTGTGTGACCTTTGATCTACTGATGGACACTTAGGTTGATTCCATTTCTTTGCTATTGTGAATTGTGCTGTGATAAACACACACGTACAAGTATCTTTTTGACATAATGATTTCTTTCCCTTTGGGTAGATCCCCAAAAGTGGGATTGCTAGATCAAATGGTAGTTCTATTTTTTACCTCACATCTTAATATTCCATCTGCTACCATCCAAGTCTGCACTTGCTAACACATGATCTCTGGCTCTTGCTATTTGTTTCTCCATGAGTGAGCAACTTGTTGACTAGCCAGTAAAACCCAGCAGGAAACATGACAACACAGCCATCTGCCCTGTCCTTGAAACCTTAAATCTGGCCGACTCCCCCAACCCCACTGCGCCCTGTGAGTGGAAGAAAAGCAGGTTTAGGCACTAGCTCTTGGCCCAAGTATTCAACAAGAAGACACGTGTGATGTTTCTTCATTCTTTCACTCCCCCTTGTCTTCTGCGTGGTTCTGTGCTAGCAGAATAGCATGGTGGTTAAGAGTGCAGTGACCAGGTTCAGAAAGGCCTCAACTAACCCTCGATTACACCACTCACATGGTACTGAGGCCCTGAGGAGCTCTAGAGCTCGGGTGGCCTGTCAGAATTGTCCCAAGTTTAGCCGAGATGAGCAGGCCTTCATCCCCATAATAATAAGTATTGCATGCAGACTAGTGCAGAGAGATCCATTTCTGGAACCCCTGCGCCCTCTCAAAGTCTCTGGTCACACTGCCAGCCTTTCAACAGAGCAGCCTGTTGGCTGTGACCTTGAGTTCAAGAAACTGCCGGGCCATGGCCAAGAAGCCAGAATGTGCAGGTTGGCAGGACCTGTTATAAGACTCTTCTTCCAGCTCTGACAATAGCTCTGCAGACTGCATGTCCCCAGAATCTGCCATGGAAAAACCTGACCTACCGCTGTCAGGACACGTCAGCTGTCACCTGCTATATCACTAAAGTCCTCCAGAGTCATGGGGAAACTTCATCCCTGGCACCTGCCTTCTATAGCACAACCCAAACGGCTCTATCTACTGTCCCTGGGTGAAGTAGAAGCGACCATTCACCCGATCCTCCTCCTTCCTGCCTTAAATGACCAACTTCCAGCACCTTTTTCTCCTCTAGACTTTGTTCCAAGTCACAGCTAGCGTGTGTGGGCTCCACCACCCCTTCATCCAAGGGAATGTATAGAAAACAATGCACCCAAACAGCACAGGGCTTAGGTGTTCTCCACGGTTTGACACTGCAGCCTGAAATTTGCATTAGGACCTCAGACGCCACCTCTTTCCTGAGGTAGTTCCACCAAGCTGGCAATGTAGGAGGAAGCTCTTCCTGCAAGGTCCCTCCCAGGCCGTCCCCTGCTGGAACCAGTCTTTCTCCAGCTCTGCCTGACGCCCTCCCTCAGGTCACGTCTTCTGCCGATGTTCCCCTCCACCAGCAGCTGGGTATGGGGCTCTCTGCCTCCCCCTCCCCTTAGCAGCTGTGAGGAGTCACCCCCAGATTGGGGGGGTGAAGGGGGAGGGGACAGTGAAGCGTGAGAGAGCATGAAAGGTATGGCAGGTGGCCCAACATGTCTGTTCTTATAAAGCTCATTGAATTTAAATTCCCAGTGACTTCATTGGAAATTTTAATTCAGGGGATTTTTTTTTTCCTGAGGAAACACAAACACAGACACAAAGGGCAAGTCTGACAAAAGGAACTCCATGACTTGTTTGCACCTGAACAATGGTAAGTGACTTAAGCTCTTAGAAACATGGGGTGTTAAGTGTGTCTGGCAGTCTGGGGACAGGAAGAAAAGCAAACCTGATACATCAGGATTGCCATGTGCCTGCCCTCTCCTCAGCACCTCCAGTGTGTTAACCTCTTTACTCCTCCTAACAACCCCATGTGATTGTTCCCGTACTGTTGATAAGGAAACTGAGGCACGCAGGTGTTACACAGCTTGCCCCAAGCGGCAAGCTTGCCAGGCGGTTGCAAAGTGGCAAAGCTGACGCATCCCATGATATCACCACGATGCTACACGGGAAGCAACATTGAGTACCTAGGCGCTCTAATTGATCTCAAAAAGCCCCAGGTAAGTACTATCATCTCCTATTTCACAGATGAGAAAACTGGGATTCAAAACAAATTGACTTACCAAACAATATAGAGTAAATAAGCCAGGATTTGAATATTGAAATGAAATTCCACCTTTTAAGGTGGCAAATGACCGAGAGATGTTCCTCTTACAAGGAAGTAAGAAGCAGTGGCCGTGTTCAGCACAATTGTCCTGTCACAGGCTCGTGGCAGGAGCCGTGAGCAGTGTGGACAGGCACTGCCCTGTGTCGGAGCAGATGGCTGCCTTCTGGCTCCAGACCCTTGGCCTGCAGCCCTTCCATCCTGATGCCATGACCTATTTTCGCTCACCCAGTTAGCTGCATGGCCTATTTCTTTCCTGAAGAATTATTTCATAACCTTCACCAAGTAACTATCACATGCTGAGCACAGCATTCATGAACTTGGACATGAAAAAAAAGTCCCTTTAAATTTGCAGAGCAGCATTGGCAATCCAGGTAGAAAGAACAAAAGGAAAATTAAGAACAGAGCCTCAGACCTGCCCTTCCCTTGTATTCAGGTTGGTTTCCTTTTTGCAAGTGCCCTAGATCATGGGTAATGTGGGGCCTGGCTGGCTGTACTGAGTTGCTTTCCAATTGGTTCCTCTGCATCCAGAAATTTCTACAACCTATTGGCATAAAATCTTCCCCAAACCTGCTTTTCATCATCGCATCTTCAGTACCTAAAGTTGGTTCCCTATTGCCAATAAAATCCACTGTCCATGTAGGGTCCTGATGCCAAAATCGAGGAAAGAGTGAGTTAAATGTTGGTAAGTGATGTAGAGGTAGCAATTAGGCAATGTAATTAGATACTGTTGAAAGAGCTGAGCTGTAAAATGCAATGTGATAAAGGGTCTGCCTATACAACTAAATAGGTGTAATTAGATGTAAAAGCTCCCTTTTTCTCTCCCTTTCTGCTTCACAGGCTTTTGTGCTTCTCAAGTCCAAACCTGCTGGCTCTTGTGTTTCCTTCCATTTTTCTGCTGCAGGCCTGGGTACTTGGCTGGCATGCTTCTCCTGGGCTAGCTGCCTCCTCCCATTCTGCACCTTGGGCTTCCTGATCTTTGGCTCCACATTATTGCCCCGTTCTCCAAAGACAAATTCAAGAAGCATGAGGACTATGCAGAACATGGGGTTACAGAAACAGCGAACACAGGGAAGTTTAAAAGCCTACAGATTTCTTGCAGACACAGCCCCTTGTCTTTAGCTCCTGACTCCTTCTCCAATGTCAATTGGAAGCTGAGTCCTCATACCATTGGGTATGAGGACTCAGCTCTGAAGATGGGGCTTACTCACCATGCACTCTCCTGACTCACCCTGGATGCACCTTCTCCACATACAAATTAGAATGTATCGTGCCCTGCTCCAAGCCCTCTGTGGCCTCCCATTGTGCTGAGCAGGACCTCCCTGCTCCTCACCCAGGCCTCCAGGTCCTCCAGAGTCTGGTCTGTGCTCCCCTCCAGCCTCCTCTCTACCACCGTCCTCTTCACCTTAAGAGCTCCAGCCCAATCTGGTTTTCTCGTTGTGCTTTGAACACCTTCAAGTCTCTCCAGCTCAGGTGCTTTGCACTGGTTGGTCGTTCACCCTAGAACACCCCCATCTATCAGACTGGCTCTTTCTCATCTTGTGGGTCTCAGCTGAAAGGTTACCTCCTCAAAGAGGCCTTCTTTGGTCACCTTATCCAAAGGGAACCTCTCACCCCAGTCAGTCTCTGTTCTATCTCCCTCTTTTATTTTCTTCAAAACACTCACCCACTTCCAGAAACTACCCAGCTTGTTCATGGGTTTGTCTCTTGATTGTCTGTTTCCCTTGCCAGGCTGTGAGCTCCATGTGAAGGCAAGGTTGGTGTCTGTCGTACTCACTGTTGTCTCCCCAGAAGGAAAAAGTGTGCTTCAAATACATGTGAAATGGAGGAACAAATTGTGTTATTTCACCCGCTCCTACCTGGTTATCTGTGCTCACGGAATGCATGTCAGTGTGCCTCCTGCTCCACGAAGCCATCACTGGCCCTGATGCTCACGTCACACATGGGGTTACCTGGATCGCAGTCATTCACTTACTACGCATCTTTTAGGAGCCCATATGGCGGGTGCTTTGTTAGGCAACAATTTCACAAAATCGTGCTTTTGACTTCAGAAAATCTCTAATCTGATAGGAGGATAGGCAAGAAAATCAGTGAGGATGGTCCCTGTCACCCTCTATCTGGTAGAGGAATGCCCAGAGTGCCACAGGATAAAGAAGAGGTGCATCTCAATTGGACTAGAGGGTTCTAGCCAGGTTTCTGAGAAATGGCTCTTGAGCTAAGTCTCTGGATATAAGAGTCAGCTACAAAGAGAAAAGCAGCATACGTTGGGGTAGGGGAGCTGGGACCTTTTAATCCCATGAGTTAGAGACCCATGGTGTTAACACCACACAGGGAGTTTGGGGAACTGGTTTCTGCCTAGTCCATCTCTAATGAGCTCTGTGACCTTGAGTGGGTCCTATCCTCTGAGTCTCAGACTCTCTCTCTCTGCCTGGCATTTAGTGAAACCCAAACTTGCCTTGATATTCCAGCCCTTCTACTTATCCCATAAGTGTTGAGCTCCTACACTCACTGTCCCCTAGCACCAATGCTCTGGGTACTCATTTTATGCCCAGCAGGGCACAAAGTGTCCTGAAAGATATAATTAGTGGGAAATCCAATCTTTGCTCTGGATGCAGCTATAATTTGGAAAGGGAGGAAATAAACTATAATAAAATTAGAAAAAAACAAAGCAGTGTAGCCCAACATCTTACATCATTTGCTAATCCTTTCACATCTGCTGGTCTTATCTCAATTAGTTGTCAAGCTTCAGGTCAGAGACTCTGTTGTATTTTTTTGTAATACCATCTCTACCATTTTCTAGCTGTAAGATATTGCTCTAGTTACTTTACTTTTCTAAGCTTCCATTCTAGCAACTGTAAAATGAGGAAAGTACCTTACTTATAGGGCTGTTGCGAGGAGTAAATGAACTATGGCACAGGAAGCACTTAGCACAGGGCCTGGTGCATAATATGCCCACAATAATAATTACATCATCCATGAGGACAGACATGGAAGAATTGGAATGTGCAACAATAAGCAACAGGTTGAAAAGCAGTAAATGAAGACTGAGTGAACACAGCTTCTGGAGGTGCCCTAATTGAGTTTTTTAAGGAAGTATCTTAAAAATGTAGCAGGCTGTTGTAATGGTTCAAGTAGAAGGTGGAGTCAGGACTTGGGATGAAAGTGAACAAGGAGGCACTATAGGGAAAGAGTCAATAGGAGTTTGATGATGCTCTCAGTCAATAGCTTTGGTTCTTCTCTGTGTGGGCAACACACTAGCATTTTCATTCCTTCCAGCTACCTGTTGCATAGGCTTAATTACAAGTGAGTGCAGATGAGAGGGCTGGGGCTCCCTGCTTTCACCTAGCTCCTATTCATAGATGTAGGCTGTATCTCAGGTGTAGCATGCTCAAAATACTGTGGTCCCAATTACCCTCACCCTAGTTTGCTCATAAAGCATAGCTTCTATGCCAGGAGATGTAAGCCAATAAGAACAGAGGCTAGTATCTCGGCCCAGCACCTGATTCTAAAGCAGGGGTTTTACTCACAGATAAGTGCACCATTGTCTCCACCCACAACTCTGAATCCATGGTTCAGAGATTTTTCTCAGAGTGGGATGTAAGCCATCAAACAGCTCTGAAGCTGTCCCCTAGGGAACTAACTTTATCTGAAACTGAGTGTGGGGAAGTTCAAGCCTAAGGGCACTCTCAAAGACATTGAAGGTTTTGATGAAAAGCAATTAAGAGGAGCCTAGTACTTTGTGGAAGATATAGGCTAAACCGTAGGCCTGATAGCTTATCAGAGAGAACCAGGGAAAGAGATAGCTAAGAAGAGCCTACCTGGGGTCAGAAAAACATCAAACATTGACCTCAAAAATTACACCTACAAAGAAGCCCACTTTTGATTGGATTAATTGGATGATTACTGAGCAATCTATGGCCCAGGGCATTGTAAAAAACAATAGAACAATTCGTTGGAAATTAGTAAAGCCTAAAATCTGTTTAAAGAGAGAGACCTAAAAAAAAAAAAATGAAAACTGTCATCCCAAAATGACAATTGGTGTACACACTCAAGTCTGAGTCTTCTGAAGAGCAACTTCAGAGGCTTCACACTGTGGAGGGAAATATACTTTACTAAAATAGGCCAGCTGGTCACTAAACAAATAAACAACAATAATAAGCTGGGGATGGGCAGCAAATCCACCATTGTTATATTATCTGAAATGTTCAGTTATCAACACAAAATTATGAGACATGAAATATAATAGGAAAGTGTGACAAATACATGGGGGGAGAAAAGCAGGTAGCAGAAATTTTGAGAAGTACCAGATATTAGATTTAATAGATGAAGATTTCAAAGTATCCATTATAAATGTGTTCAAAGAACTAAAACTATAATTAAAATAGTAAAAAATGACAATGTCACATCAAATAGAGACTATCAATAGAGAGATAAATAATTAAAAAGAATGAAATGAAAATTCTGGAGCTGAGAGCTGAGCACAGGAGCTCATGCCTGTAATCCCAGTACTTTAGGAGGCCAAGGAAGGAGGGTTGATTGAGGCCAGGAGTTTGAGATTAGCCTGGTCAATATAGAAAGACCCCATCTCTACAAAAAATAAAAAAAATTAACCAGGTATCATGGCACGTGTGTGTGGTCAAAGCTATTTGGGAAGCTGAAGCAGGAGGATCACTTGAGTGGAGGAATTTGAGGTTGCAGTAAGGTATGATGATACGGTTGACTCTAGCCCAGGTGACAGAGTGAGACTTTATCAGAAAAAAAAGGAAAGAAAGAAAGAAAGAAAGAGAGAGAGAGACAAAAAGAAAATTCTGGAGTTGAAAAATATAATTGAAATTAAAAATTCATTAGAGAGGCTCAAGAGTAGATTTGAATTGGCAGAAGAGAGAACTAGCAAACTTGGAGATAGATTGATAGAAAGTATACAATCTAAAGAACAGAGAGAAAATAGAATAAAGAAAAATAAACAGAACCTCAATGTGGAACATTACGAAGCACACTAACATATGAATAATGAAAGTATCACAAGAGAGAAAGGAGCAGAAAAAATATTCAAAAATATGATAGCTGAAAACTTTCCAAATTTGATTTTTTAAAACAAAGCATTTGTCTAAACATTCAGGAAGCTCAACAAAATCCATGTAGAATAAATGCAAAGAGATTCACACATAGATATATCATAGGAAAATTCTGAAAGCCAGTGATAAGGAGAAAATCTTGAAAGCAAGAGAAAGGTGACTCATCACATAGAAGAGAACCCCAGCAAGATTAACAGCTGATTTTTCACTAGAAACAATGAATCCAGAAGGCAGTGAGATGACAGATTCAAAGTCCTAGAAGGAAAAAAATGACTTATTTGCCAATAACAGCACAGAAGAAGTGAGCGGGAGCAAAGCTGTGTTGGAGTAAGAAAATGATACCGGACGGGATGGTTATGAAAATCCATGGGAACAAATGAAGAGAACCAGAAGTGGTAAATAAGGACAGAGTACTGGGGAGGAGAGATGCACACAGAGAAAAAACTCTGGAGATGAACTGTTGGAGACTAAGACCCTCCACATTCCAACGACTTGTCCTGACTTGTCCTGACTCGTCCTACGCACGAAAAATAGCCTAAGATGAAAATAGCACCCAGCCCTCCAGCTATAGTTCCGAGAAGAATGCATTCCATGACGTACTTGCTCCAGGGCATGCTACCTGCAATTGTTCCCGACCCCCTGCCAGGTTGGGATTGAGTGATCCATCACAAACAGCTTTCGGTGCCATTGAGATGCTGATTGGGGCTAATTAGCCCACACCCAAGCCTCATCATCCCCCCACTCTATTTTTCTGTTTCTACTTCCTTGTTTTCTGTATATAAAACCTACTAAAAATCCAAGTAAAGTAGACCTTGACAACCATTCCTTGGTCTCGTTTCTTTCTCTCGCCCATCTCTTTCAGGCACGGTCCCCCTCGCCCCCGTGAGTAACAGAAGGTCCAGAGGGCCGGGACAATGAACTCCCTTGAGTAAGCATCTGTGTGGTGATTAGTTCATGCACATAGGAAATGACTTGAGGACAGAGAACCACCTGAAGGGACTAGAGGTAACAACACCTGGAACTCACACATGGTGGAGAAGAGTGCCTTTCCCACAAGCCATACTGTAAAATCATGTGATCCACAGGGCTTGAGTAGAGTACACAGAGGAGCTTGCCTTTTTTGTAGGGAACAATTAGCCCTAGCCTGAACATTGCTCTGCTTCCACCTATCAAAATTTAAAAGCAAGACCTGAAAGGATCATACATTTTCCAAGTAATTTTAACTGAGTTCCTAAACAAAGCTCAAGAATATTCATAATAATACAAAAATATTCAGTTACCAACAAGATAATGTTTAAAGTATGTGGCAGCCAATAAAAAATTGCCATGCAAAATAACTTTCCACAAGACATGCATTAATTACAAAGATCAATTTGGAAGTTATTCCTATTCTCCTCTAGAAAAAGCCTAGTGGATAGCACCCTAATCAACTGATCTAATTGAATATCAACAGTTGTGGGACAGATTGAAATTGTGCCTCAGCCAATGGTAGCAATGAGAACAAAGCACTTTTGTGTTATTTCCACGCAAGATGTATAACTTGAATCACCTCATGAGAAAACATTGTAAGAAACTCAACCCAAGGGACATTCTATGACTAATGACATTCTAATAACTGGCCTGCCATCTTCAACATTTTCAAGGCCATTAAAGTCAAGGAGAGACTAAGGAACTGTTCTGAGCTGAGGATACTACAGAGGCTTGACAATTACATACAGTGTGTGGTTCTGAACTGGATTCTTTTGTTGGAATCACTGGCAAAACCTGAATGGGTTCTGGGGATTAGGTAGTAGTAATTGTCAGTGTTCATTTTCTGACTTTAATGGCTGTGTTTTGGTTATGTAGAAAAATTTTTGGAAAGTCATACTGACAAAGGTAGGTAACTACGGTAGCTTGTCTCCAAGATGGCTGGAGACAATTCCTTCTCCTCCCATCCACACAAGCCAGGAGTTGCAGTCTATTTCCCCATTGGATTCTATTGCCCTTGAATGCAGCCTGATTCCAGATTGTTTTGATCAACAGAATACTACAAAGTCATGCTGTGTGACTTCTGAAGCTAAGTCCTAACCTCGCAGCTTCTGCCTGCATCTCTTAGAACATGTGCTCCAAAAGAAGGCAGCTGCTCTATAAGAAGTCCAAGTATTATGAAACCACATGGAGAAGTTGGGGAGAAAAAGATACCCTCTGACTGCTACTGACGCACCCCAAATAAGTACTACTTTGCTGACCCATCAGGCCCCAGAACTGTGAAAGATGATAATAAATTAAACACTATATTTTGGGGTTGTTTGTTACACACTTATAGATAACAAGAATGACAGTTATAAATGACAGGTATAATTTTCATGGAAATTATGGTTATGTGTAAGCTTGGTGTTTGTTCCTTTTTTTTTTTTGCATTAAGCATACATTAAATTTGTAATAAAGTAAACCACCTGTTTTCCCCCAGCACTATGATTTAAGAGTGGCACTACCTAGAGTGTAGCTCTTAGGATATGGCTGTAGCCTCCAGACAGAATAAATTATTCATTATGATATGCTTAGCATCAAACAGAATGCCTGGGTGTTGTAGTAGGTGCTTAATAAATATTTGTTGAATAATTGATGTATGGGAGAGCATTGGATAAACTCTCGCAGGATGACAGGCTATTTATTTATCCATTTATTTACTTAGATTTACATCTGGCACCATATTGTTTTGCTACTAGCCTCATTCTCTCCTTAAAGGACCACTCTAAAGGTCCTTAAGACATCAAGAAGAGAGGCCATGTGTTGAAGCTATGATTTATTGCATTTGCCCCCCCATACATTTATTTCTGTACATGATTATCTCCTCTGCTTTCTCCTATGACTTCCTCACTTTAGCTGTGTGTACGTTTTGCCTCTATCCCTCTCCTTTTGTACATGCTTAGGCAAAGAGCCCACAAAAAGTAAAATTATGAACCAACCTCTTTTGTGACTAAAACAGCTCAACTCAATCAGTATATAAAAAGAATAATACCCATGATCAAGTGGACTTAATTTCAAGAATAATTAACATCAGAAAATTGGCTAATATTAATAAACTACATTTCATAGATCAAAGGAAACAATACGATCATCTTGGTTTTTTTTAAAAAAAGAAATTCTTGGTAAACAAGATTTTGAGGAATCTTAACACAATAAAAAAGATTTACATTAAATGAGCATTTATTGAGATGTAACATACACAAGATATTGTTAAATTTTAGGGCTTAAAACATTAAAGAAGGCAAGTCACTGCTCTCAAGAATTTAAAATATAAAATATTAATCACAGAACCTTAGCAGTCTTCTTTTCTGCAGTGGACTTGTAATGTCACAACTGGGGATTCATCCAAAGGAAATGTTTCAAATTAAGAAATTTGCATAATGTTCATTGCAGTGCTATTTTCAGTAGCAAAACATCTTAACTTTAATGTCCAACAATAGGGGAATAGTTATGAAAATTATTTCACATTAACTCAATAGAACATTATATACTCATTAAGTTTCATTTAGTACTCGTAATGTATGACATCCTAATACAGAGATTAAATGAGTTCAAAGATAATGTAGTGATATTGAACACTGAATATGAAGTAAAATTAATTGTAAAAAGTGTAACATAGAATTTCTTAACCTCAGCACTCCTGACATTGTGGACAGGATAATTCTTTATATGAGGGACTGTGCTGTGCATTGCAGGATGTTTAGCAGTATCTCTGGTCTCTACCCACAAGATGACATATCATATGCCACCTCTTGTCCCTCTATCCTCCCAGTTGTGAAGACCAAAAATGTCTCTGCACATGGCCAACTATCCCCTGCAGGGGAGGGCATTTGATTGACATCCACTGGTATAACACAATATCTATGTGTAGTTTGACTACAACTATATTAAAAACTTGTATGCGAATGGATAAAAATTGGAGGAAATGATAAATAATACTTGCTGTGACAACTGAAGGAAGTAATCTTTTTCTTGGATTTTTCTAATTGCTTTAGCAGTAAAGACAGCTCAATTTTAAAATGTGCTTTCTAAATAGTCAGACTTAGGAACAGCTCTCAGCCCTGGGAGACCAGCAATGCTCTCTAGCAGTGGCAACTCCTTCTGGTGGGCTGATCCATGGTCTTAATTTCCTTTATGTCTCTCTTGACTTCCAGCATTCCACAAAGAGGCCTTGATTGGCTTCATGTCTCCCTACAGGGGTGTGTCAAGCAGAGTCACTGACTCTGCTTAGAGTCGTTCCCAGATGACTCTTTGTAATTTCTGACGCACCTTTAAACCCAACAAAGATTTATGTCTGGGCCCAGGACCTGGGCCTTTCCAGAAAAGTCCACAGCAAGATGTCACCAGCCTTTTGATGTCATTAGAATCAAATGCAATCACCCACTACTCTGGTTTCTATGTCTAATTCTCAAGATCAAAGTTGGATGATCCCTACTCAGATATTAATATTAACTTTCTCCATGCGTGAACCCATGGTGACCTTTCCCTCTGATTGATCTTTTACTCTAAGGACACGATTTTGGAAAATTGTCTACATGTACCCTGGAAATAACTTCAACTTGCTTTTGTGTTGATTTCACTTCTCCACTCTCAGTGCTGGAAGCTAATCAGCAATGCTCTATGTGACTAAGAG